TCCCTGCGGCCCCTCCACCCTCGCGCCCTGGCCCCAGACCCCGACCGCCTGGGCCCCGGCCTGCTCGGCGACCCCGACTACTCGTCCAGCAGCGAGCAGTCCTGCGACACGGTCATCTACGTGGGGCCCGGCGGGGCGGCGCTGTCCGACAGAGAGCTCACCGACAACGAGGGCCCGCCCGACTTCGTGCCCATCGTCCCGGCCCTGAGCCGCCGCCGGCCCTCCGAGGGCCCGCGCGACGCCGACCACTTCCGCTGCAGCACCTTCGCAGAGCTGCAGGAGCGGCTGGAGTGCATCGACGGCAGCGAGGGCCCCGAGGGCGCCCCGGCCAGCCCAGCCCGAGGCGGCAGGAGGCCCTCAGCACCCGAGGCGGCCCCCAGGAAGACGGTGGGCAGCCCCGGCCCGAGCCCCCACCGGGGCACCCTGGAGCCAGTGGCCAGTGACCAGAGAGAGGAGCTGCCCACGCTGGCGCAGCCGCCGGCCGCGGGGAGGGACCCGGAGGAGCCTGCAGGAGGCCGTGCTGGCGAGGGGGCCCGGACGCCCCCCGTGGGCTGCCCCCGCCCCTCTGCGCAGGGCCGCCGCCTGGAGCGGGGCTTGCTCACCACCACGGTCACCCTGCAGCAGCCCGTGGAGCTCAACGGCGAGGACGAGCTGGTGTTCACGGTGGTGGAGGAGCTGTCACTGGGGGCGCTCGGCAGCCCCGGCCGCCCCGCCAGCCTGGCCAGCTTTGGCAGCGACTGCTCCCTGCAGGCCCTGGCCTCGGGCTCCAGGCCGGTCAGTATCATCAGCAGCATCAACGATGAGTTCGATGCCTACACCTCACAGGCTCCGGGGGGGACCCCGGAGGGGCCGGCCTACACGAGCGGCCCTCGGGGCTCCCCTGCTCACACCCGGCTCCACATGGCCTATGGCTGTGGTCCCCTGCGGCCACCCAGCCCCGACCCTTTCTGCCCCAACCCGGACAGCTCCCTGGAGCTGGGCAGCCTGCGGTTCTCAGAGCAGGGTGGACAGGACAGCCCTGGGCCGGCCCACAGCTCTCATCCCGGGGAGGCGGCCGCCACAGCCCCCACCCAAGGCGTCAGGGAGCTGCGGGCCTGGTCCCCCCGGGGACCAGCGCCTGCCCAGACCATCCACTCCAGCCTGCCCCGCAAACCCAAGACTACCTCAAACGCCGGCTGTGTGGGCTGTCCGCACCCGGGCCTGAGCCCACCCGGGCCCGGAGGCACCTTCGAGGACCCCTGGCGGCCACGGGGGGAGGAGCGTGGGCCTGTCCAGGCGGCCTCTGCCGGCAGGGCCCCCAGCCCAGCCCTGGCACTGGCGAGCACCTGGCGGGTGGTGGATGGCTGTGAGGTGGTGGCCAGGGCAGCCCTCAGGCCGGAGGCTGGGGCTCCCATCCCCCCTCTGCGGAGGGGGGCCACCACCCTGGGCGTGACCACACCTTCAGCGTCCTGCGGTGAGGAGGCCGTGGCTGGCGCAGCCGTCTCCAAGGTCGCTCCCAGCAGCAAGAAGGCCGTGGCCCCCAAGGGCGCCGTGCTCCCCAGGCTCGGCAGCTCGGCACCCCCGGCCCCGCCTGTGCGCAAGTCCAGCCTCCAGAGCAGGAGTGGCCCAGGTCTGGTGTCCCCTCCAGCTGGGGCCCTGGCCCGGGTGGGGGCCGTTGCCCCCACCCGGGGGGAGGAGGACACCAAGCCCAGTGGCCGGGCAGACCACTCGGTGGCCAGGGCCACGTCCAGCCTGAAGGTCCGGGCTGGCAAGGTGGAGGCGGCATCCCGCCCCGCCGGCCATGGGTCTCTGGAGCGGGGGGAGGGCCTGGCACACGGCGGGGGCAAGGCCAGGGAAGCCGCTGGGCGTCTGGGCCGGACTGTGCCCAGGCTGGGCGTGCCTCCCCCCAGCCCCGTGTCC